CCTCCCCCCTTCCTCCCCCCTCCTCCCGTCCCATCCTTAAAATAATCCTCCCTCATTTCCCAGCAACAGGTTTTGAGTCTGGCAAAAGGTTCAGCACAGATTCCGTGATCTGTTTCGCCTGTTTGGCGTCCTTCAGTGAGTGGACTCGCACAGCGTTGTACTTCCGCTGGATCTGAAAGTGAAGGAGCAAAAGAGCAAGTGGAAAAACTTAGTAACAGTGCTAAAAGTTTTTTTACAAAGTATTGTACTTTCACTGAGTCTGAATGTGAAGTAAGGGAACAAAAAGAAAGTGTAAAAGTCAGAAAAAATGCTAAAAGTAAAAAGTTATTTAGCCCTATCCATACTTTGTGTTTTACTATCGTATCCATACGATGTGGGGAACTTTGTGCCACCACTTTCACTCTGCCTGTTAACAGGTACCACAAGAGAAAAATTTCAAATTCATAAAAATTCACTTTTCTCTACAAAATAATGAAAGAACTTGTCAAATAATGATTGCAGCTTTTTCATTCTTGAAAATGGGTCAATGAATAAAAATGTTATGAGACACTGTACTTTTTCCGACTTAGAAATTTTGTTGACATTGTAAATGTGTCAAGGTCTATTTAACCTGAGAGGAATACATTGAAGATGCGCAAAATTATCCCAACATGAGAATTGAAACTCCTACTCTATATACCTATAAGACAGGTGATTCTTTAGTAGTAGAAGGCCTATCAAACGTGCAGTTATGTAAATATAGGTATGCCAACAATGCAAGTTTGTGCACTGGAAAAGTATGCAACAAAATCAGGACAAAGTGTTAATTTCGTCTCAGATTCATGGCATTCTTCTCCAAACTAACGAAGACAAGTGAAAAGAAATTTATTTATTTGCGTTCAGAGTTCTTTTCATTTTTAAAATATGATATTCTTTTTGTAAACTGAAGGCAACTAATTCGTAACCCTTTCTACAGCTTTTTCTGATCCAGACAAGAGCATCTACTTTCAAACACTTTAAAAATGTGTCCTTGTGGTACCTCACAATGGGACACTTTTAAGGACAAGCGGGCTAACCCAGGTTTTGGGGGTTTCCAGAAATTTTCACCTACACCAAAAGTGGGAATAACCCTACCTATAGGAGAAGTTTGGTTTCATCGGTGTGTATATTTGTTTGGTTACAGAGAAAACTCTCTTTGTCTTTTAAAAAAACTGAACAAGCGGCAAAAACTTTACCTTTGATTTTCTCAAAACAACATTTTTCGGGATAGCCCACTAGCGCTTAAAAGCGACCACATGACGTAGTGATTATCGCATGATGTTGGACTCACCTGACCAAGCAGATTGTCCGCCTCAGGGAACTGTTTGCGGAGTCGAGAACGATCTTTCAGAACCGTGGTCAGTTTCTCTTCCTCCACTATCGACCTGGTCTTCAGGTTCTCCAGAGCGTCGTCAATCCTCTCCTGGTAGCTCTGATGAGGTTTGGCTGGCGGAACCGGAGCCTGGGAAAGAAACAATGTCATTGTTGTAAATGTTTTACACCTCTATCAACACAGTTTAGATCATATTGTTTTAGTAAGTTTCTTACGGCACTTGCAACACAATAAGGTCATTTTTTAAGTTTTAGCAAGTGTTTTACAGCACTCACAACTAAACAAACTAAAAATCCCAGTAGACGGATGGAGATACTAGATCCGTTATGAATCTGACAACCACAGTCAGTTACCGTCGGTGAAACAGACAGACAGATAGACAGACAGACAGACAGATGGACAGACAGGCGTGCATCTTTGGTCTGAATGTTCCTTTACCCTGCGGTATTCCTGAACCATCTTCTTGACCTTGCTCAGCTCGATGGCCGGGTCACGATAAACCAGCTGGTGGCTCAGTGTGTGCTTCAGGGCCCGAATATTCCCTTGGATATCTGGTTGGAAAAAAAAATGTAGACAAATAAACAAAAGAAACAAAGCGGAAAAAAAAACCTCAGAGTAAAACAAACGTTTTAACCGTGTCCATACGTCGTGTTTGACTACCGTATCCATACAACGTGGGGAACTCTGTGCCTCCACTTTCCAAAGAGGAAATTTACTCGTTAATCCGATCGGTACGCTTTGCATAGCAGTCTGCAAAAACGATTTTAGGAGAAATACTGAAAGTTTCAAAGACACCTTCATACTAGAAATATTCTAAAATGTGAAGAATACAACTCCGGGGGTACAAAATGACCCCAGGGCGCACGGATAGGGTTAATGTATCTCCCAAACAAAACCTGGGTTACAATGGCACATACTGCACATTCAAAACATAACTTATAGCATAAATCAGCGTCCAATAATACAAAATACGACACCAATATGGACAATATAGACAAAGCATCTCAACAGCGCTGTCGTTATGGCCTAAGTCAGTCTAGTATAAGTAAAAAGAAGGTCCTCCCTCTACAAATTCATCTTCTGTGCATGTAGTCCCGCTGTGCCTTCTTCCTCCCCTGCACAATTGTTGCTACTAAGTAACTCAAAGCACAGGCAGCCAGACAGAAAATCTCAGACTTATGCACATATTGGGTCAGGTTTGAGAGTTCTCTTTGCTTATACCAATAGATGGTGATGATCATTATCACATTATTATCATTAGTATTATTATTACTATATTATTATCATTATCATTATTATTACCATTATCATTATCAATTATCATTATCATTACCATTATCATTATTATTACCATTATCATTATCATTATCATTATCGTGGTAACATACCTTTTGCAGGAGGCAACTCCGGCTCATTCTCCAGTTCCTCAATGTCCAGCAGGAGTTCGTACCCTTTGTACCTGCCATCCACGACCTTGGCAGCACCGGCCTGACCCCCCTCCGGGACTTTTCCTCTCACTCGTCTGTCCTCGGCAACTGAGGGTTCCCTCCTCGGGCCACTGTGTTTGGCCTCTATGTCATCAGGCTAAAAAGGAAAAAAAAGAGAAAAACACAAAGTGGAAAAAGTGTGAGATGACTACTCCCCCACCCCACCCCCGCCCCCCAACTGGTAACTAACAGACAGACTGGAACAGACAAGACAATCTAAGACAGTCACCCATAGTCAAGGATGAGAAAACAGGCCATTTTAGACAGGTTCACGTTGTACGTAGAGTCATTAGAACGTTAACTCACTCAACCCTAGGCCTGAACTTCCGGGTTGTCAGCTCTCCTTAGAGATTTTTACCACTTTCCGAAAAATTGATAGGCAGGCAGACAGATCTGTGACAATAACCTAGGTAGCAAGATATAGATAGGCAGGCAGACAGAATAGATAGGCAGGCAGACAGAATAGATAGGCAGGCGGACAGAATAGATAGGCAGGCAGACAGAATAGATAGACAGGTAGCAAGATATAGATAGGCAGGCAGACAGAATAGATAGGCAGGCAGACAAAATAGATAGGCAGGCAGACAGAATAGACAGACAGGCAGACAGAATAGATAGACAGGCAGACAGAATAGATAGGCAGGCAGACAGAATAGATAGGCAGGCAGACAGAATAGACAAGCGGTCAGACAAAATAGATAGACAGACAGACAGAATAGATAGACAGGCAGACAGAATAGATAGGCAGGCAGACAGATCAGTGATAATAACCTAGGTAGCAAGATATAGATAGCCAGGCAGACAGAATAGATAGGCAGGCAGACAGAATAGATAGGCAGGCAGACAGATCAGTGATAATAACCTGAGTCATGAAGAAAGTATCCGAGTTGTCCCTTTGAGCCGCGCTCATCTGAGTATCCTCCCTCTCGTTGCTGTAGGAGTCTTCGTCCTCCTCCTCTTCCTCCTCCATGATCCTCTCAGCCCAGGCTTCTGTCAGCTCCTCTTTCGGGGTGGTCGGGATTGGAGGCAGAACAGACATTTTCTTCTTGCCTGACAGATAGAAAGTATCCTCGTCAAAGACGAATAAGTTACATGTTGACTTAACCCTTCCAGCCCCAGCCATTTTTGTGCACTCCCTAACCCCAGTCCCAGCCAATACAGCAGCATTTCAGAAAAAAGAGGCTTGCATTCTAAAAAGTGATGTGGTATCTTTGTAATGAGGTTTAGATAATAACTTATAACAATGTGTAAAGGTAAACGAATAAATAAATTATGAAAATTAAAGTTTGATTAGGTTCGCTAATTTCCAAAAAATACACAAATTCGGTACCCCCTGAAACTGAGAATATACGCTCTTGGGACGGTAGGGGGTACAAGCGCTGCTGAAAATATACATGCATTGGGCTGGAAGGGTTAAATATCAGCAATTTTCAAACTATAACAAACCCAATAATCTTTGTATAGTTTGTCCTTCGAAGGACAAACATGTATAATATATATATTTCTGCTTGAGGTAAAGTGTGTTACCATTTTGTATTAGGTATACCACATTTTTTCTTTGTGCTCTTTCAGCTCTTCCAGATGTCTTTCTTTCTCTTTTCTTCTTCTTCTTCTTCTTCTTCTTCTTCTTCTTCTTCTTCTTCTTCTTCTTCAATGAGTTACTTCTCAGAGTCAAGTCATATGGAAATAGATACATCACGCTCATCATGTTATAGTTAAAGAATATGGCATCCATAGAAATTCTACAAATTTGACCCTAGTGTCGATTCTTGGCCAATATCTCCATTTGTGGATTGCGAGAAGTAACGACTCATTTTGTCAGCACATTTCAGCCCTCTGTGCAGAACTCTATGTTTTGTTTTAGTAAGCGTTTTACGGCACTTGCAACACAATCAGGTCAAATAAGTGCCAAAGATTAGAGGTGTTACAAGAGAGTAACAAACAAAAAAAAGAAGGAGGAAAGAAAAGGACGATAGATGTTTGATAGGTAAGAAGAAACAAACAACACCAGAGCACCCGCCAACCACCCACAACTCTGTGCAATTACTTGAAATTAAAAGGCTGCTTTAAAAAGTTATTACAAGATTGTTTAAGCCATCTGGATAATATAAGATAGTAAATAATATCAAATAAAGACCTTGATTTTTCTTTTGTACGTTTTCCTGGACATAACATTAAAGAAAAATGACATTGTTTACCATGAAAGTCCATAGGCACAGGGCTGGAACCATGCTCGATGGCATGAGAAAGTGGTGGGGGAGGTAACTCAAGCCTCATCTTCTCCTCAACTGTGAGTCGCGGGACTTTAGGCACAACTTCTTGGATCTGGAATGAGCGCACATTCTCTGTTACATGCAACAAAATACTTTTACGGTGGTTTGGTTTTAGTAGAGGTTTTACGGCGCTCGCAACTGCATAAGGTCATATGAGCGCCAGAAGATTAGAGGTGTTACAAGAGAGCAACAAACATAAAAAAGAAGGAGGGGAGATAAGGACGATAGACTTTTGGTCATCAAACAAGTACCCGGCTAGTTATAATTATCAGGTGCTTATCAAAATAATGAAGTTGAAAAAAAAACCATATTTGTCCACCTGATGAGCAATGTTATCTAATTGTATAACAAGGATCACTTTCAAACCATCAGCTAAGAGTTTTGATGGGGGTTTTTTAAACTGAAGTAATAGCAGCTGGTATACAAAAACAAAACAAAAACCTTCTTTTCCTATGGCTGAATCAACACTAACTAAAAGTGAGGCAGCGGGGTGAAATCAGGTGCTCGTCAAAATAAACAGAAAGAACAAACTGGCATTTTTAGGCAGGTTTGAGACTTTTCATAGAATTTTCATTTTTTGGTTCAACACCTTTTATGCACATTAAAGAACACATTTCTGTGTGGATTTTACTGAAAAACGTTGAATAAAGGCATACAAGATATAATTTTAGGTTTCTATGAACTCTCAAACTATGGAAGTAACTAAACTTTGGTAGCCATTTTCTCGCTAATTTTACCTCTGAAACCAGGCGACCCCCCACTTCCTTCAATCGCTAATATCTCGACTATTAAACAAGATAAATGGGTATTTTTTTCATCGAAAGCAAGGCAAATGGACTGGCTTTAAGGTGATAACAATAACTTCATATGCCCAAAAATTGACGAACGCCTGGTTCCACCGCGTTGTGACACAAATGTAAAAAAGAATCTGAACAAAATAAAGTCCTACCTTGATGTTTTTAGGTCGTATTTCTACTTTGCTCGTCTTCAGGAATCCCACTACATCATCAGGCTTTGACCTATTGAATAGAAAGGGTTAACATGACATAAATATCTGAGAAATCTTTGCTGGATACACTGTTCATAGCCTTCTCAGCCCAAGTGAGAAAATAAGAGTAATTGTAATCATTGTTTGAAATAGCTACTAGTGAATACAGGTGTGTGTATGAGTGTGTGTGTGTACATATATGTATGTGTGTAAGTATGTGTGTGTGTGTATGTGTGTGTTTGTGTGTGTGTGTGTGTGTGTACATGTACAATTTACAATTACGCATATAGGGGGGTCCAGTAGCTAAATGAGTATAGTGAGTTCAGACTCAAAAGTAATGTCAAGTAAGTGTCGGTGACAAGGGGTTTAGATGGGTGGTCCCTGGGGTGTGTGTGTCCTTGGGCTAAAAATACAGGGCACTGCACGGTGGTGACCAGCGATGGCATGTTTGTGAAATTTTTCTGTATTGGTGTGATATTGTGTATTCACGTATGTATTTGTGCATGTATGCATTTTTTATTAAGTATTTATACAGGGATCGATAAAAATGTGATTATTATTATTATCTTTTATCATAATTACCCACATCGGTGCACATCATGATAATAATAATAATAATAATAATAATAATAATAATAATAATAATAAACAGCATTTGTATAGCGCATGTCCCCACTCGAAAGCAAGCTCTATGCACTTTACACTATATTATTACCCCAGCAGACCACAGAACACCCAGAAACATTGTCAGCTTCCCGGGAAGCATACATCATAATCTTACACATACAAACAGAACCAAACAAACCTGTTTAGCTTGATGTGAAGCCTGTCCTGCAAGAAGCGTCGCAGCAAAGGGGGATCACCACTCCTCTCAGTGGTCAGAGGGTTTTGGTAAATGTCCAGTTCCATCAACATAGGCCAGGCAGCCACGGCTAGCAGAGCGTCCTCCTCACAGATCTGAGTAATGTAGGTCACAGAGATACAATATGTTATAGAACCAGCATAAAGTATGCATAAATAGTTGGCAAGACAAGATAAGATAAGATAAGATAAGATAAGATAAGATAAGATAAGATTTTAAAATCTTCTTTTTCTTCTTCTCTCCGTGTTTTTGCGTTTGAAAAAAAAAAATTCTTCTTTTTCTTTTTTTCTTCTTTTTCTCCTTCTCCTTCTTAAAGTGCCACATCTGAAACAGACCTCAGCGATCAGGATTAGCCATTCATTTCTCAGCTCAGATGCTCTTAATAAAATCAGTGCTATCTTTTGTGTTTTCCCTTCATCCACCAGTGCAAGTTCTTTAACTCTTTATCTCCGGAATTAAGCCGCTCCCAGCAGCTCGTGGTCGGAACCACTGCGTCGGTGAGTCCCTGACAGCGGCTCGGGCACATTCCTTTACGACAACTTCGACATCAAATTACATTTCTGCAATTGCCGAAAACAGATCTCTTATACCGGAAGTTCATTCATTAGATGAAGAACTATCAAAATAGGTTTGCTAGTTTCGATTTGATGACCCATTTAATTATGTTTTCGTCATTTTTAGATTTAGCACCAAAAAAGGGCCCCAGCGTAGTGGGTTTACCCCCCTCGGAGATAAAGAGTTAAGTAACTTATTCTCCGTTGCCCCGCCCTGCCTCTTTTGCCTTCAATCCAGAACCAGGAAAGTAGAAAGTCGACCCGTGTTCTAAGCGTTCTGACCTTGTTATATGACAGATTCAGGTATCTCAGCTCAGGAAATGGTGGCATCTGAGGCTCAGATTTCTCGGGAACCGCTGCCGTCACTTCCTCCCCGCGGCTGGTCTCTAGATCCAAGTCTTGAATGCGAGCAGACAAGTCTCCTGATGTGAAGTCCTCCGCAAGAAGATCTGAAAAAAGAGATTTTAAAAAACCCACTGAAGATTTTTAAAAAAAATTTTTTTAAGTTCAGAAACAGAATAAATCAAAAAGAAAGATAGAGCCTTAAACTTGAAAAAAATGGAAAATAAAATAGAAACAAAAATTAAAAACAGAAAGAAAATTGAAAAAAACAACAAAAAACAAAAAACAGAGAAAAATGTGCTTTAAAAAAAAAGAGAAAAAATTGAAACAAGGAAGAAAAAAAATCGGAAAAATGAAATTATAGAATCTAAATCAATTTTTAAGAAATATAATCTTATTTGTTTGTAACTTTTTTTTTTCAGTTTCAGGCCCTTCTAAACAAGCTTATGTTTACCAGTGAGCTGAGATTTACATTCAAATTCCAGAATCAACATTCCTTTTTTTTGTGAGCACTGATGGATGTTTTGGCCCATAGCCAGCGAGTGAAGAGCTATAAGTGAGGTATCGTGTTGAAATCAGGCGCTCGTCAAAATAATAAAATCGGAGAAACAGGCATTTTTCCCACCGGGTAAACAATTTTTATCAAATTTTTGTTTTTTGGCTCAAATCCTTTTATGTCCAAATAAAAACATAGCTCCAGGTGAATTTTACTGAAAAACGTTGATTAACGGCATTAAAAAATGTAAATTTTCAGTTGCCGAGGACCATCATTCTATGCAAGTTCTAAACTTTGGCAGCCATTTTCTCAATAGCTGACCTCTAAAAACCAGGAGACTCTGACCTCCTTCAATCAAAAATATAAGGCAAATGAACAGGCATTAAGATGATACTGATAACCCCATATGCCTAAAAGTTGACGAGCGCCTGATTCCACCACGTCAGTGACACATATCTGGACTTTTCACAGACAGGTCTTCAGATGTAGTTTTCAGAAAGAGTTATCGTATCAGTTTTTATCTGCAAGCTTTTGTTTCCTGAAACTTCAAAGCAAATAGCTTATATATATATATATATTGCACAAGGTATTACAAATTACAACTTTAATTACGCCCAATTAAACTGTTAATCACTTTTTTCTTAATTCTGATGTGAAGAATTTTTTGTCAGAGGATTTGACCTTTTGCATTTTCGGATCATTAGTTTTAGTTTTAGTAAGAGTTTTACGGCACTTGCTACACAATAAGGTCATATAAGTGCCGAAGATTAGAGGTGAGCAAACCACACCAGAGCACCCGCCAACCACCCACCGCATGGCCGTAATTGTGTTTTAGTTTAGTTTTAGTAGAGGTTTTACGGCGCTCGCAACTGCATAAGGTCATATGAGCGCCAGAAGATTAGAGGCGTTACAAGAGAGTAACAAACATAAAAAAGAAGAAGGGGAGATAAGGATGTTCTCAGACGTAACTGTGTTGACAGGCTTCTCTTCTCTCATAGAAAACCAACAACAAAAAAACCCACAGTGCGTGGGGTGCAATAGTCAAAAGAAACAACAATAGAGACAAGTAGTCATCAGTGTTCTATGTCCGCAGCTGGAATAACTGTACGCACTTTTACGTACTGTACACACATTTATGTACTGTACACACACTTATGTACTGTACACACATTTATGTACTTTACACACATTTACGTACGGTACTAACATTCACACTGTGTACTGTACAACCATTTTCATTGTGTACTGTACACACATTTACGTACTGTACAAAGATTTATGTTTTGTACACACATTTACGTACTGTACACACATTTATGTACTGTACACACATTTATGTACTGTACACACATTTATGTACTGTACACACATTTATGTACTGTACACACATTTATGTTTTGTACACACATTTATGTACTGTACACACATTTATGTACTGTACACACATTTATGTACTGTACACACATTTATGCACTGTACAAACATTTATGTACTGTACACACATTTAGGTACTAACACACATTTAGGTACTGTACACACATTTAGGTACTGTACACACATTTATGTACTGTACACACATTTAGGTACTGTACACACAATTATGTACTGTACAAGTACAGCACAAACATTCACACTGTGTACTGTACAAAGATTTACATTGCGCAGAGCACTAACTTTCACATTGTGGACTGTGCACTGATTGAAGTTTAACAAATACTCCTGGAAGCATGTACTGTTCAAGCAAACAACAGCGTTTAAAAAATCATCTGTTTTGATGTTGTGTTGTGTATTACCAAAGATAATAAATAACAAGAGGGCCCACTCAGCCAAAAAAGTGTCCGCCGGAAGTCCGCTCTTTGCTTCAGATAGCGCTGCAGTCTGTTTTGAAGCTCTCTTTCGTTTTTCCAGAAGAAGAATAGGAATAGCACCTCCTGGCGTGCGCCGACCGACTGCTGTTCATCAGCTTTTTGGGTTCGTTCAGTGCGGAGTTTTAGGTTTTTACAATTTTAATGACCTCTCGCCTCTCATTCTAAAGTCAAATTAAACGAAGAAAACAGTCGCCCATTCCTCCGGAAGAGGTTTTTTGTCAATGTAATCATTTTTTTAAAAGCGTTCTTCCGAAATTTAAATTCTTATTTATTCAAAAACTTGTTAGTTTCACTTTGATTTTTTAAACACAAGTAGGGTAAATCTATTCGCAGAGGGTGCGCATTTGCGAAGAGGGTGCCACCGAATTTTGAGGACACTTTTTTAATTGGCTCAAAGAGAGGAGTGGCCCCTCTTGTTATGTAGACTCTTTGGTATTACGTGAATCTGATGTAACCTCTGAAACATGTTATGCCTGCACTGTAGCCTTAGATCTTGAACAAGTTTGATAGAGTTCTTGCATCTTAACCATTATTTCTCCCAAAGGGAATAAAAGGGACTAATTTTTTACCTGTTCCCAACCAAAGTTTTAGTTTGTTAGTTTTAGTAAGAGTTTTACGACACTTGCAACACAATAAGATCATTCAAGTGCCGAAGAATAGATGTTAAAAGAGAGTAGCATACACAAAAAAGAAGGAGGGGAGAAAGGGACGATAGATGTTTCATAGGAAAGAAGGAGCAAACCACACCAGAATACCCGCCAACCACCCACTTAGAGATATTGAACTCACCATCTGTAAAGCTAGCTTTTTTTTTCCATAAGCAACCGAGATCTGATACTGCAGTACTACTAAGGGTAATTGTAAAACTCTTGTGAGATGTCTTCACCATTCTAAGTATTAGACTTGAATATTCACAATGCATCAATAGAAACAAAACAAAAAGCAACAAAGTTCTTCATGGGCAGTATTGCATACAGGCGTAAGTCATTTTTGACGGCCTTTGAGATACATCTGTATGCAATACTGTCCCCGTCTAGTAATAAGCTGCTCAAAGCTGCCACTTCTACCTAATATATCCCAGAAGAGATGAAAATGAAGGATCAGGAGAAGGAACTAGATGCTAAAGACCATCTACACTCTTGATAATACCAAGACTCCTTGGTTCAAATCTAAGTAGTACAAAAAATATTGATTAAGTATTATTTGATCACATTATAGCTACACTATCTACCAGAAAGCAACAAAAAGAAAGAAAAAAGAAAAAAACCTGCTAAGCAATCTAAATATGATGGAACTTTCCTGAGTAATTGTTCCTCTGGTCATAAGTAGGAATACCAGCCATTGGTACTTCATGGTACCCACAGTTTCCACTGCAGCACAGGCAACATTTGGTCGCTTTTAAGGATAAGTGGGTTAACCCAGATTTCGGGGGTTTCCAGAAATCTTGACCTACACCAAAAGTGAGCATTGCCCTACCTATAGAGGAGAAGTTTGGTTTCATTTGTGTGTATATTTGTTTGGTTATAGAGAAAACTCTCCTTGTCTTTTAAAGAGACTGAATAAGAATCCAAAAACTTTAACTTTAATTTTCTCAAAACAGCATTTTTCGGGATAGCCCGCTTGTCCTTAAAAGCGACGATTTGTGGCAGTGAACACAACAGAAAAAAAGTGAACAAACAAACTACATACACACATAAGCAAACAACTAAAGGTGACGTTGTACAAAATCTGTAAACAAAGCTAACACTTACCAGAGCCTTGGCCTGGTAAGCAAAATACAATGTGAACAAAATTGATTCACAGGAGAGAGAGAAGGTGCTAGGTGCCATACCGCAGACTCTTGTTTAAAAATTTCACTAAATTATTACAAACAGAAAAACTCTTTATAAAAAATACTGATAAACAGTTAAGTAGTCTTCATTTTCATTTAAACTAGGTGAAAAAGAGAATGATAATTTTATTAGAAAGTTTCTAGGTGAATCCTACTTGCCTAAACAAAAAATTATAACTCAATAAAGTAACAGTTATGTGTGAAATCATGAAGAGTTCAAAAGGCAAGAAGAAAACTATAGTCCTTTCAACTATGAAAAAAAAAGAAGAAAAAAACAATAAAGGAAACTAAGATTTAGGGACAACAATTCAGCAAGTGATCTCTGCATCACTATTGCTCATGTTATCATAACTAATGTTATTATTATTATTATCATTGCAATCATTAAAACTGTTGCTATTGTTATCACTGTTGTTACTATAAAAATTAGGCCTACATTCATTACTATTCGTCTTCTTCCTCTTCTTCCTCTTCTTCCTCTTCTTCTTCTTTTCCTCCTCCTCCTCCTCCTCCTCCTCCTCCTCCTCCTCTTCTTCTTCTTCTTCTTCTTCTTCTTCTTCTTCTTCTTCTTCTTCTTCTTCTTTTTCTTCTTCTTCTTCTTCTTCTTCTTCTTCTTCTTCTTCTTTCTATTCCTATTATTATTACTATTACTATTAAAATTATTAGCTATTATTATTATAACTATTACTATTGGGAAGAAAACCAGAAACACTGACCTTGCAAGTGAGAGCCTTCAGTCACTTGGGTTCCTTTGAAGAGGTTTTAAAAAAAGAAGAAAACACGACAGTTCACAAAAGATCCAGGTCAAAAACACAATATAAAACAAAATATCTAGAAATTTGCAAAAAAACGACTTTCATTTGTATTTATTACATGTTTCGTTCCTACTCTCCTCTCTCTTTCTCTGTCACTCTCCTTTTATCTTTCTCTTTTCTATCTTCCTCATTTCACCCCTGCCCTCTCTCTCTCTCTCTCTCTCTCTCTCTCTCTCCCCCTTCAAAGACAAGCTTTCGCCTGGCCTATATGCTGACAACACCACAGCTCATTCACACACACACTGTTAATAAGAACCAATCACTCAGGGGACCTTAATATCATGAAGAGGTAAAAAAAAAAAAAAGGATCCAGCTGAGCAGAGCTTTCCATTATTTTAATCCCCATTTTCTTGAGAGAAAAAACCCAACTTTTCTCTTCACCACACATCGCAGTAATCATACAATGCTTCCTTCCTTCACTTCATTTTCTCTACACTGCACATCGCAGTAATCCTACCTGATTTCTCAGTGGCAACGTTGCTTCCTTCCTTCACTTCAGAGCTAGATTCTCCCTTTCCATCCGCAGGGTTTTTTCCCGAAGACGAGACCTCACTAGCCTTGACCTCAAGGTCAATTAGCGACGCTTCCTGGGCCGCCCGTGACTTTGACCGGCGTGAGCTTCGTCTGCCGGAGCCTGGTCTCCGAGGGCGCTTCTTGTCCTTGCCGTCCTGAGTGACCACGCGACCTTCCACAGACTTGAGTTGTGGCACAAAGAAGATCTCGTTCTTGGACATGTTCAGGTGACGCAGCCTGTGGCAGAGAGAGGGTTGGAGATTATAGAGATTTGTGTGGGTGGTTGGCGGGTGCTCTGGTGTGGTTTGCTTCTTCTTTCCTATCAAACATCTATCGTCCTTATCTTCCCTTCTTCTTTTTTATGTTTATTACTCTCTTGTAACACCACTAATCTTCTGGCGCTCATATGACCTTATGCAGTTGCGAGTGCCGTAAAACCGCTACTAAAACTAAACTAAAAAAGAGATTTGTCTGTGTAATTGAAGAGATTTTTACCATCCACGGCACACCAGCAGTGGAATTTTAGATGTAGTGGTGTGTTCCCCGCCGAGCGCCTTGTCACGTCAGGGTCACGGAGGTCAGCTCCCTGTCGCCGCTCTGTCTGGGCTGATTTCATTTTTGGTACTTTTCAACTTACAGTTTTAGGTGTATCCTTGTTATTATGGTAATTATCATTTAATGCACCCAAAGCAAGCATTTCTGCTCTTGAGACCTAAAAAAGAATGGATATTGTAACTTGTCTGGTTATTTCGTTAGACTCGCTCAAGAAAGCAATGCAAAATTGTAAAAATGTTTGGACAAGTGCGAATGAAAAAAAATCAATATTTAAAAAAGCAGCATGACAAAAACTGTTGAACTTTCGGAACATGAACGACATAACATTGGTGCAGATACTCAGAAAAGATGGTATCTGCACATATAATAGAAAGCTCTAATTTCGCAACTTTAGCCATCTGGCACACAATTCGTTATTAAGTCTAATTCCTCCAAATACATTAACTCAGTGACTGCTGAGTCACGCGAACTAAAAGTAATAGAATCTGACAAAAAGTGAGGCTGTGCACCCCACTGACACTGCTTGTATCATCTGGGAGATGGGCTGGTTCTGGTCTGTCTGTCCCAGCCAGTTAAGACAAAAGGGTGCAACATTTCAATAGAGAAACAGAGACGACTGATAAAAAATTATTATTATTATTATTATTATTAGGCCCTATTATTAT